CAAGAAGTCGATGTAGCAACTATCTGACTATTGTGAAGCCTTAAAACTCTTGTCCCTACTAGATCTCCTACTCTATCTAATTACACCTCAAGGCTATGATCCTCTCTTGAAAATCCTCCTACATACTATTCTAGAACTACTAGCACTAACACTATAAGATACTCAACCTGAAGGACCCAAGGGAGCAGAAAATGGCCTATAGTTGTCCCTCTTATTCTATGGTTCTAACTCTCGACCCCACCTCATGGCTATATGGAGCTGGTTGCACATTTCCTCTTATATAGCATCACCTAGCAAAGCTATTTGCCTCTTGTATTCTAGGCTCATCTTTTCCAGCAATCTCTATGCCTTTCACTTACTATCATCTCAATCATATAAGTAAGGTATAAATTTAAAGAGTTGAATAAAATTTTTTTATAAATGCTTCTTCATCCAAATCACCCTGCTGGAAGGCATAGAACTTGGCTTCTTTCTCATCTCTGAAAGCTACTAGAAAATGATAGTCAAAGAATTTTTGTTTAAACTACTCCCAGTTAAGCTAACTACCATCCAATGGCTTTACTAAATTCTACCAGTGCTTGGCATCTTCTATATTGCATCCTAGCAATACCACTTTTTGCTCAGAGGAACACAAGGTAACTTAAATATCATCTCCATTCTCTTGATCTAGTTCTCTGTATCACTTTCCTTCATACTCTCATTAAAAGTTAGTAGACTAAACCATAAAAATATTCTTTAAACTTGATCAATGGGAATCTCTTAATCTTTCCTTTCGGTCATAAGCCTACTCTTTAATGCATGGGAGGTCATTGGCCTACTCACTTACCTCAAGATGCTGCTTTAACCCCGCTCTCACTTTCGAGCCTACTCTAGCCTTAAGCCTCACCTCTTACTTTAGCTTCGGCTCCTCGTGATCCCTATTATGGTTCAAGGCATCATAACCAACAAGCTTCTACTACATGTCTAGCATCACTTCTTACAATCATCCTAACACCAAGTTATTCCCTTAAGGTTGCTATGGTGGCACCTCCAGAATCTATGCCTCTTAACCGTGAGCACATCATGAATTCTAACCACGCCTACTCATAGTCACTGTAGAACTACATGTCTTTCTCCCTACTTAAGGAAAGAAACCATAAAAGAAATGTAAACATGTGATTAGAGGGAGGAAAAGATAAATGAACGTATAAAAGTTATCAACTAATGTAAATGCAATATACAAACCAAGGTAAAACCCAAGTAACTTATATCAAACTATAAAGTCTTATGTTACATACACAGACTTTATTTACATACACCGTAACACAATACAACACTTAAAATTAATTGATTTTAAAGATGCAAGATCCCTACTTATAACTAAAAATCAACACAATTATTTTTCTTAAAAAGGCACCATATGTAGCGGTATGTGGTACAAAGCTATAGGGTCTTAACTTTGTGTCATGTGTCACATGTTTCAAATTTTGCTATCATAATAGCAATTTCACATAAAATTTTGCTACACTTCATTTTAACATACGGTGTTTGATCGGTGTGATTCAAGTTCCTATACGAAGCTTATAAGATAAGCTAACTAATGAGATAAGTTTAGACATTCAATGTCATGATCTCATTTGAATAATCGAGTGCCAAAAGTTACCTTTCTTTAAAAATCAAGCACCCTAAGTCATCAAATTTAACATCTTATCTTATTAGACTACTTTGGGCCTTCAACTAAGTCCAAAGAGACAAAACACACTTGAATGGCACATATAATCACATATCACACACTATATACACAAGTTGACTTCTCAATGCCACTTCTCATATATGTAGCCTTACATGAAGAAAACACATATAACCATACAAACACATTTCTACTTGCTCCGCTTACATTTATCTAACTAGCACATATAGGGCTAAGCCTCGTCATATAGTTGGGGTTCACATGCATATATACACCACCATATAAAAACATAATCACACTAAGGGAACAAGTTGAACATCTAGCATTCATAAATCTTGCTCATTCATAACCATTACTAGCTTTACATAGGTACCTACACTCTAGGCACCCTCAAGCTAGAAGAAATCACTCTTCACATGTTATAAAACAAGATTTTACAAAAGTAAACATTTACATACTTTCTTGTAATAAAATCTAAGCCCAGCCACATATTCACACATCTTTACTTAATTGGCGAAGATGCACAAAAGATGGTAAAAGCAAGTGACAAAACACTATATATACAGGTATGCATTCTAGTTGGCAACTTAACACTTAATATTCAAATATATATTCATTGATAAAGAGTAGCATTATAATTGTGTAACGCAACTACTCTTCACACATCTCCTTTCTCGACCTCTTAGTACTCTCAGCACCTATAACATGAGGTAATAGAGTGAGGCATATGTCCAAGTAACTTGAATAAACTCAAACATCAATTAACAAGTAAAATTAAACATAAAGGATAAAGTATTAGCATTTTTACAATAATACAAATATAAGTGATATGCAATGCATTGATAAAAATAAATGCGCATGTTTCACTAGTATCCATCAAGCCTTCATAACTCCTGACTAAACCCATAGACTATGTATAGGACCTCTCTATTTATTATATTTAAACTATGGATTTTCACTAAATATTCAATGGGGTGTCGAATCCTCCCCTTACTAATCACTCATAAAGTGACAGGGAGTTGCCCTCTATACATATTTGCTATAGTACATGAGGCATAAGCATCACATATGCCAGGACTAGATTCAACACCATGTCATAAAGTGAACTCCTTCCTCTAACACATATGAGTGCTCATACAGTCCTGAGTCCCACTAGTGTATCCCAATTAACGCTCTGGATTACTAGGACTTCTTAGCCTTATACAAAGTATAACATCCTAAATTTTTTAATCCTGTTATTACCTGTAATCAGGAGTAAAGTGGTAGTGAAGGATTAGATATTTGAATGATTAGTTGATGATTTTTGTTCTTTAGATGTTAAATGAGCAAGTATGGGTGGAAGGATAGCATTTCAAGTCAAAGCAAGTATACGTGGTGAGAATTCTTCTTACTATGCCATGTGCCGCAATAGATGTTGTCTGCACCACGACACATGGACCAAAAAATGACCCCTTAAGTCATGAAATTAGGGCGAATTTCAAAAAGAAAAATTAGGAACACATATGAAGGAGAAGAAAAGAGGCAAGAGTTTGCTAGGGCCAAAGATTTCAAATTATTGAAAGGTACTTTTGCTTAGTAACTTATCAAGTAATCTACATATAACCCTTACCTTCCAATCTACCTAAATTTTTCTAAATATAAGTTATAGAGAAATTGAATTAGTGAAATTTTAAGGGTTTGATTCTTACACAATAGTAATAAAAAGGTTATTGAGAGTTAAGTTAGAGTTTTGTGACTGGTTGAGAACTAAATGATAGAGCTTTTAACCCCATAGGCTCAATTTGGCCCTAAATCAGGAGAGAATGGGGTTAAAATCATGTTTGAGTAAAATGAGACTAGTTGAGGTAATGTAAAGTAGTAATTGAGTAGTAGTGGACCTAAAATGAATAAGTAAAAAAGAATAAACAGCTAAATATAGGCATAAGTAATAATTATGCATTTTTGGTCAAATTGAACTAATTGATAAAATTGTGCCAATAGTGTTTAGATTGGCATATTACACATGTGAGTTGAGAAAGGAAGCTTGTGATGAGCTATAGTAGTAGTTGAAATTCACGGGTAACCTTTCTAGTGATAGAAGGGTTGAGATAACTAAAAAACTTCCTCTTTGACTAGTTAGTGTAACTGTGTATGAGTATACTATTTATTGCATGAAATTATTTTAAGTTAAGCATGTTTATAGCATTGTGTGAATGTTACATGAAAATGACTTTTGATCAATAGATAAGTGAAAATATATGATTTTCTATTATATATATATATATATGCACTATGTGTTATGGATACATATATAAATGGAAATCTATGAATGGTTTGGAAAGCTTGATCATAAGGGTGGGAGTTCACCCGTGTGGAGTATAGTAATAAGACCATATGGCATATTCTTCTCAGTGTTTGACGGGGTGTGATGTTGGAAAATTTTACCTCCTTAGTGCCTATTGAGGTGTGGTGTTGGAGATTTGGACTCCTTAGTATCTGTGATATGGTGTTAGAGATAACGACACCCCATTGTGTGAAATGGGGAAAACCATGGTTTAGAAGTGAGATAGAACACATTTGGCTAGGTGATTCTACCACTAAAGTGAGCTTAAGGCCAATGAGAGTGCATATTAGTCTAAAGAAAGCCTTTGTTTTGAGGGTGATTTGGAGGTTCAGACAGTAAAGATCATGCTTATGATAGAAAAATGGTGAAAAATAGTGAAAATGTTGAAATATGATATACTGATAAGATTTAAAATGAAATATATAATATATGTTATGTTAAAAGATATGATATGCTTTACTTTTGTATAGTTGCATATGATAGTTAGTAGTAGTAAGTTATTCTATTACTTAAATTTTTATCTCACCCTCGTGGTTATATTTTTACAAGATAGAGTAGTGATTAGGGCAAAGGAAAAGAGTCTGGATTGGCATAGTGGTGTCGTGACTACGAGATCTCTGAGTCTATGTAATGAACTAACTAGTTGTAAATATTGTGTATATATATAAGTTGCCATAGGACTTGTGTAACATCCTAAAAATTTTAAGACTCAAATTTATTTAAAAAAATAAATAAAAATAAAATAAAATATCTATAATTAAATTAAAATTTAGAATAATTTGATAGAGGTCCAGAGTTTGAATTTTACTAAGCAAAAGTTTAGTTTTATTTGATTTTTAACTATGGGAAAAATTACCAAAGTTGACCCGGGCTTTTGTGCAATAATAAAAAATGTTGGGCCATTTCTTGTAATTTTCCCCAAACTTTTAAATCAGCTTTTATAAGATGAAAAACCAGACCAGAACGCAGAAAAGAAAACAAGGAAAGAAAGGAAACACGTGAGAGAGAGAGAGAGAGAGGAAGAAGAAAGGAGAAAGAGAGGGAGTTAGGCTCGGATCTAGGAGTCTTTGTGACCGTTGCGAGCTCGGCTACACGATAGGTAAACTCCCTACTTCAATCCTCTTCTCTTTCTCTTGATTTTCTTCAATTTTTAGAAGAGGAGATTTTTGGATTTTGATTCCAAAGGCTTTATTCTTGTAAGCTTTTGTTTCTTTGGATCCTAGGGAGCATGTTTTGAGTTTCTATATAGTGATCTAATATTTTGAGTGGATAATTAGATGAAAAGAGGTGTTTTGGACACAAAATAAATCCTGAGAAATTGGGTTTTTGCTCTTCAATGGTTTAAGCTTATTGATTTAGTTATAATTTTGCTATTTGAACCCAATAAGATTTAAATTAAGGTTTGGTTTTCATTATAAGGGCTAATGGTGAAAGTTGGTGACACTAAGTGAAGGTTTTTAATTGATAAAAAATTATATAAATTGAAAATTAGCCTAGTAATGGCTAATAAATGGTTTTGGTGGTTAAGTGATACTATGTGAATGGTTGGTTTAATATATGGACCATTAGGGTGGATTATGACTCATTGACCTAAGTTGTGTGGTATAAGTTATAGTCTTCATTAATACTATTTGTCATGATAAGTGATGTGGATCATTTATATGTTGTAGAAAATTGTTGGTGGAACTTATTGAGAAGTAAGGAACAAGCCGAGCCCTATTTTGTACAAGGGGAACCCTTTTAGTACCAAAGGGTTGAGGTAACAGGGGAATTTATATTTCTTATTACTTTGTTTTAGCTATTTTTGAATAAATATTACTAGTTATCATGCATTACATGTTTTAAAAGATTAAATGTGCTTTATAAGGGGTTATGGGGTACTACTTTGATTATAGTGCAAATATGTTTTCTAATTGTTTAATAACAATGTTTTTATGGAAATGAGATTTATAAATATTATACTACTTTAGAGTGTTGAATGGTCAATACTCAGGAAAGGTAGACAAGAGTAAAAGGCATGATCTCGGTGGGAGTTCACCAATGAGAAGGTGTGGATTTTTGATATTCTATGGCACACTGTCAGTACTCAGTGTTGTCTTACGTATTGTGGGCTCAGTGCACTAAAGTGGTTAGTGTATTGAGTGTTCACACCTCTCAGTGGGGGAGGGAATCCGACATATGAAGTGTGAGGTTGAGTGCCTAGGCCAAGGTAGCCCTCACATGGAGAGTAAGTCGGGCTGGCTCTGGGAGGGAGTTAGCTTTGACTGCTCAGGATTCACGTCGAAGGGCCATAGGCGGTTCGGTGGATTAGATCATGCCTTAGATTATGTTTTGTGCCTGTGGAGGTACAAGTAGGTATAAGGTTTACCTGCGAGTTAAAGAGTGCTAGGGGGCATTCTGTTGGTCATGAAAGGCCATACCGGCCTAGGTCATGCATTCATGCATTTTAAATGGCTAAATTATATACTATGTTGAATTTATTATTCATTTATTTGATTATGGCTTACTTTGTAATAATCAATATAGATTTCACTGTTACTGAGACTGTGGTTGTCTCACCCCTTTCTTTTCAATATTCTAGGTCCAGGCGAAGGATCCAGTGGTGGACGGGGAAAAGAGCAAAGCTAGGGGTTTGCTTGTGATTTGTAAAGAACTGCAACCCCTTTCTTTTGAGCAAATATATTGTAATGTATTTAAGATTAGGGTGCCAGTAGGATATGATTGTGTGTGTGTGTGTGAATATGTGTGGATTGTGTGCTTGTGTATGAATTTTTGTCTGTTTGCAGACTTGTGGCTAGGAAACTTGGTTATGGTGTGTGTTTTGATGGATTTACTTAGTAGACCAAGTTTCTATTACAAGCAGATCTTTATTTTGATATATATGTGATTTTATAAGCAAATGCAAAGTGGTTGCATTGCAAATGGTGTGCTATGGGAAAACATACAGCTTGGATAGAGAGAGTGGGTGCGTGGGCCCCACAAGGAGCTCTGAGCCAAGTGAAAATGTTTAGCATATGTATTTATATAAATACATGATATTTGGATTGATTTGTGACCACTCTTGTATGATTTGTACATTTTGGGGGTTTAGGGTCCATTTTAGGAAATGGCACCCGGGTGGTCAAATTTTGATGTATGGGGGTTTTCCATCATTTGAATGTTCTATCAAGTGTTTTTAATCTTATTTGACGTGTCCAAAGTGTTTCCACAGGTTTGTGACCATTAGGATGGGATTTGGACAATTTTGAAAATGGTTTTTACCAAAAAGCTGCACTTTTGCATCCGGGTGTCCAAATCTTAATCCGACCGTTGGATTTCTCTAAAATTTGGGTCACAAGTAAAACCTTTTATAAGCTTCGTGTGGGCTTTGGAATCACGTCGATCGGATATCGGACGGAGAAACGACGCACTCCGATCGGAGGTCAGATGATGAAATGGTGCACTCCGGAAGTTGGTCCGGAAGTGCTGTCATGACAGCTTTTTAGCTGTCATGACAGCAAAAATAGTCAATCTTTTAACATGTCTAATTTTTAATTCGACCGTTGGATCTTTTTGAAATTTGGTACACTTATAGTACCCTTTGAATGTGACGTGTGAGCTTTAAAATCACTTCAATCGGAGGTCAAATGACGGAACACCGCCTCCTGGAAGTTGGCCCAGGAGGGCTGTCATGACAGCAATAAATTACTGTCATGACAGCATCTTTTTATTCCATTTTCGTCTAACTTGCTTCCGTGCGCTATAGGTAGAACCTATAATTATTTTTAAGGTTTTAAATGATTTATTTCTTAAGTTGGTTAGAGGATCAACTCCTTAACCACACTTAGTTTGTTTGAATTATGTGATTTTTGGATAACACTCAAGGCTAGTGTTACAACTTGCATGCGTATTTTGAATGATCGTGAGTTGTTGAAAGTAAAAATTGTATGAATGTTATGAGATTTTGGTGAATCTTAACCTATGGATGGAATTATAATAAAATGAGTAATTTGATGTTAAGATTGAGTTGTGATTATGTTGTAAATATGATAGTAGTAAGAATGAAGTGAACTTGTGGTGAAAAAGCCTGTTACATTGTGAAAATTTATGAAATGTGAAAATCGATCGTTGAAGGGGTCAAATTTTGGTATATGTGTATATATGTGGTATAATGTGGTCAAACAAGTGTGTTAGGTCCTCTTAGACTTAATTCAAGGCCTAGTATGGTCTAATAAGATAAACGGATTGATTTGAGTACTTGGGCACGCAAAATTTTTAGAAAAAGTGACTTTTTACACCCAAATGTTCAAATTTTAATCAAATCGTTAAATCATGTTTAAACTAGTCTTATTAGCTAGCTTATAAGATAAGCTTGAGTACTTGAATCATTCTAATTGGATGTCGTATGTGAAAACGGCGTACACTGAAAGTTCATCATTTTTTATCGAATGATAGCAAAAAATTCAAACATGTGAGCCACGGCGCATGGCGTCTTATGCTGCAGCATATGACACAAAAAGTCTAGGCATGTGGCTCTGTACTACATGTCGCCATAACATATGGCCTAAAATTAAACCTTGTTTCTTTGCTGTGGAGGCATGTAATAGTTCTTATAAATGCATATAATATGGTTCCACTATGCAATGTTTGAATGTATTATGATTTTGATGAAGTTTACAAAATGAGTCTTAGGCTTAAGCTTTTCAAAACAAGTATTTGGTTATGTTTGTTTAAGTGTGAGTGGTGATTTAGTTAACCCTTCCTAATATTAAGTGGATATTGGAAAAGGTTACACAAAGCAGGGTCATGAGCCTCTACCTTAAACCAATGTATCACTTTCTCATGCACACGAACATTACTAACACATATCTTTCACATACATCACCTTCACATACAATCACTTATGCACTATCTACCACATGCATTACATCTATCACATTTTACAACAAGGCTACTATATCTGTTTAGAAATCATAAGATGAATCAATTATAAAAATAACTTGTAAATAATTTTACAAGCTAATTGATAGAAAAGTTTATCCAGTTATCTTATTCCCTTTTTCTAAGGGTTACCGTTTGCACTGTAGTACCTTACGATTTGTAGATTTCCATAAGATTACTCAATCTACATAACAAGTACCCTTAGTTAGCTTCTATACTTAATGAAAAATATAAAACTTAGCTAAGTCACATCACTTAGTACTCACACCCATTTCATTTACACTTTTTAGGTTGCTCCCACCCATCCACTACAATCTCACGCACTTGGGTCATTAAACTAACTAAAACACTCCTTATAATCTCAACTAGCATCTTTGCCATCTAAACTTCTTAATTTGGGTCAATTTAAGCCTGTATCTCTAAGTCTTAACCATTAAACCCCAGACCAATGCCAAAACTTTAGTTTGGCACCTGAAAGCCCTTTTTCAACCTTCAACTCAAAATTGAATGATTTAAAACTCCCAGATTTAATTTCTCTATAATTGAGACCAAGAGAAATTAAGGTAAAAATGAAGTACAAGGTAGTACAAAACTTACCCGATCCTATTTACGCATCAACCTAATAACACAAACATCAATTCACTATCCAAAAACCACAATAAATTTATTAGTTACTAATTTACTCCTTATTAGTAATTAGTTTTTTTGAATTAAAAGTTCAGAATATTAAAAAAGGTCGACAACTAGTAAAACAGAATAAAGGGGATGGCTATGCCAGAGAGAATGGAGGTGATGGTGAAGGTAAGTATAGGGAAATAAGAGAAGGCTTGAGAGTTTGATTAGATTTGGGGCAAAATGAGTTATAATTTTTTTTTATTCCTAGCAACAAAATAAAGCACTTAATATATTATTTTTTTAAAATAAACCCAAAGTCATGACTTTCAACTTAAGCTTAAAATTAAAATTATGACTTTCATCCTCTCTAGACACCTAAAGTCATGAGTGAAGGTCACAACTTTTGTCAAAACCTTTGATAAAAAATTTTACAAAAATTTTTCCTTTAAAAATATAATTTGTTCACCCCTTAAAACCTCTTCTAAACACAATATTCACTCTAAAACTAATCTCTAACCAACGCCCATCAACCATAAATAAATTTCTTCAATTAAAATGCCTAAATCTAAAAAATGAACCTATTTTTTATTAGTCAAACCATAATAAAAATTGCATTCACTTTAGAAAGCTCAAAATAATTGCCAATATACAAGTTCATAATTATAAAAGAAACTTAAATATCTTGACTTCCTAAGAATTTTCCCTTCTCTTCGAATCCTTTAATCTTTTGCTACATTCCTTACTTCTTCGAAGGCTCATACTTCCTCATATCCTCAATCAATCCTATAAAACATACATGATCACACATAATTTCACCAAAATAACTAAACTATAAAGGAAAAATCAAAAGACAAGGTTTAAAGCTTGGGTTACCTCCTAAATAGTGCTTGTTTTATAGTCATTCAACCTGACTCTTCTCTTCTTCAAGAGGCATCAGATAAAGGCAAGGTAACTACTTCAGAGTTTACTTCACTACATCAATAATACTTTAATCTTTACTCATTGACTTTAAACCGTTGTCGTTTAAGGCTCTCTAACTCAACAATAACATGATTGAATGCTTGGACCATAGTGAACGGTCTTGACCATCTAGACTTGAGTTTGCTAGGAAATGACCTCAATCTAGAGTTATATAAGAGCACTTTTTAACCTGACTCGAATGTGTTGGACAAAATTTTCTTATCATGCTATCTCTTTATCTTCTCCTTGCATAGTCTAGTAATCTCATAGGCATTAAACTAAAATTCTTCAAGTTCATTTAGTTAGAGAAGTATCTTTTCACTTGCAACCTTATAATCAAAATTAAGCTTTTGAATTGCCCAATAGGCAGGCACCATGTTCTAACTTTACAGGTAGATGACAAGCTTATCTAAATACTAACTGGTATGGAGACATGCTAATGGGAGTCTTGTAAGCCATTCAATATGCCTATAATGCATCATCAAGTTTGGTGGACTAATCTTTTCTTGTCACTCCTACTATCTTCTCAAGTATCTTCTTGATTTCTCTATTAAAAATTTCAACTTGCCCATTATTTGGAGGATGGTATGTGAGTGTAACCTTGCACTTGACCCCATATTTCTTCAAGAGATATTGAAATTAGTTGTTGTAAAAATGAGTACCACTATCACTCATAATGATTCTTGGTACTCCAAAGCAAGTGAAAATATGCTTCTTTAAGAACTTAAGCACCATTTTAGCATCATTAGTAGAAAATGTCATTATTGTCACCTATTTTGAGACATAATCTATAGCAAAAATGATATATTGATTGTTCAAAGACTTTTAGAATGGTCCTATGAAGTTTATGCCCCACACGTCAAACAATTAAACTTCAAGCATGTTGCTAAGTGGCGGTTCATTCCTTCTAAAGATACTACCTATCCGTTGGCAACTATCATACTTCAATACAAAGTCATATGCATCTTTGAATAAAGAGGGCCAATAAAAACCACATTGTAAGATTTTGGATGCTATTTTGTCACCCTCAAAGTGGCCTCTATAGTCAAAAGAATGACAACACCTTAGAATTTCTTGTTGCTTACCATTAGGAACATACTTTCTAATCATTTGATCAACACATTAGTGAAACAAATAAGGCTCTTCCCACATGTATAACTTAACATCATGTAGAAAATTTTTCTTTTGGTGAGGCTTCAAATCAAAGGGTAAGATACCACAAACTAGATAGTTGACAATATATACATACTACGGCGTTTAAATGTTGTCAACCTTGAAGAGTTACTCATTAGGAAAAT